GCATTTATTTGTAAACTGTGTAATGTGGAACATAAATTAATTTAAATGTCCAAAATTTCAAAAATTCAGCTAAAAAGGATAGAGTTGATTATGTTAAAAAGCAAATTTATGTTTTTGCTGTTTTGGAAATCATGGAGTGAGAAATTGCCCTTCAAATTACTCTATGTTTTTATTGTAGGCTATGCTTTTCTGCATAGCACAATTCGTTACTGTGTTATGAGAGAGAAAAAGTTTTGATTTCTCAAAACAGAAACAGTTGCAAAATCGCGTCTCTGTCGGATCAAAAGTCAGACGCCAGTTTGTCTACGGAAGTAGTGAAACTGAACACTCAGGCAGAGCCATTTATAAATAAAAATTGTAATGCAGTTAATAAAGTCCTACTATCGACAGCGATTGTTTGTATTAAAGGAATATTTCCAGCCAGAACTGTACTTGACAGTGGAAGTATGATTCATCTTTGTTCATTGGAATTAGCTGATAAGCTTCATTTTCAAAGAAAAAATGTAAACGTATCAGTAGGATGTTTATCTGGGATTTCAACAATGGTGAAATCAAAAATAATTGCGGTTATTTTAAATGGAGGAAACACATACAGTCGTAAACTAGAATTTTTCATAATTCCGAAAATTACTCATTTTATGCCTTCTAGACAAATTGATGTCTGTAATATTACAATTCCACAAGGAGTTACGTTAGCTGATCCAGACTTTCATAAACCGAGAAAAATTCAGTTACTTCTAGGATCCGAAATACTTTTCGATTTGATAAGATCCGGGTAAATTTACGTACCAAATTCAAATTTAGTGTTACAAAACTCAGCATTTGGGTATTTAGTGAGCGGGAGCATTGAAGATTTACCATGAGAGAAACAATTAATGCATTGTGGGTTAATTTATGACAGTGCTGAAGCACAGTTGAAGAAGTTTTTTGATTTGGAATCAATTGGTATTAGAGATGATCCAAATTATTACGATGAAGATAAAGCATTAGAGATATTTAACAAAACTGCTAGTTTCAAAGATGGTAAGTATATTGTTAACCTGCCTTCGAAGAAAAGTTGGGAACATCTTGGCGACAATTTTGGTGTCACAGAAAAAAGAATAAAGATCCTGATGAAGAAAATGCAGCATGATAATACATTATACCTAAAATAAAGAGAAACTTTAGAAGAGTACCTAAATCAAGGGATAATAGAAAGAGTATTAGATTCCAAGAAACCAGTAAACAAGCTAGGTTTTTATATGCAGCATCATGCAGTTTATAGAGAAGAAAGTATTACAACAAAAATGCGTACTGTATTTGATGCGAGCTCACATGAAATAGGTAGTCTGTCCCTGAATGATTGTTTGTGGCCAGGTATTAATTTAAATCAAAATATATTTGACCAGCTGATATATTTTAGACTTAATAGAGTTATAATCTTAGGAGATATCGAAAAGGCATTTTTACATATCGTGTTAGCTGAGAAAGATCGAGATGCAGTTAGATTTTTATTTAAGAATATTGATACACCTTTGCAGAATACCGAGTATCAGCTAGAGGTGTATAGGTTTAAGCGTGTGCTCTTTGGTGTTAATTCCAGTCCCTTTTTGTTAGCGGCAACTATAAAGCTGCATAAAGGCATTTTTACATACCATGTTAGCTGAGAAAGATCGAGATGCAGTTAGATTTTTATTTAAGAATATTGATACATCTTTGCAGAATACCGAGTATCAGCTAGAGGTGTATAGGTTTAAGCGTGTGGTGTTAATTCCAGTCCCTTTTTGTTAGCGGCAACTATAAAGCTGCATATCCAAAAGTATAGAAATGTGTATCCCTATATCTTTCAAATTCTTGATACATGTATGTATGTTGATGATCCTGTTACAAGAGCAGATGATGTATCAGAAGACTTAAAAATTTCAAGGAAAGCAAAGGAAATTATGAGTTGAGCTGGGATGAACCTATGCAAATGGATGACGAATGATTATCATTTAGCTAAAAAATGGAAAGAAGAAAATTTTGACATTCTTCTGCTAAGCTCAAATGAAAAGATACTCAAAGTATTAGGAATTCAATGGAACATTCAGGAAGATAGTTTGAGTATAGAGACTTCTTGTTTGACTGAAATTTCGAGGAGAAAGAAAAGTACCAAACGCTTCATCCTCCAAACAGCTGGAAAAATATATGCTCCCCTTAGACCCATCACACCGTTCACTGTTAGAATAAGACTTTTACTACAAAAGCTATGGTTACATAAATTACCATGGGATGAAGAGCTTCCTTCTGATTTGAACGATGAACGGTCTCAGTGGTGCAGCGAGCTTTCAGAACTTAGTAACATTAGTGTTCCAAGATTTGCTTTGGTTTCAAGTGATGGAAATATAGAGATCAATGTTTTTTCTGACGCAAGCCAAAAGTCATATGGTGCAGCCGTTTACGTAAAGGTACAGAATCAAGAAAATATTTCTGTGAATTTGCTGGCTTCCAAGAGCAGAGTTTCACCTGTCAAAAAACATTTTCTTGCCTCGACTTGAATTGCTGGGTGCACTGATTGCTGCAGGATTGGGAATGGAAGTTAAAGTTCTAAATCGTAAAGGTTCATCTAGTATCTTTTTCTGGAGTGATTCTAGTAGTAAACTAGCAGAAGATGGAAGTCTTTCGTTCAAAATCGTGTGGATGAGATTCAGAAGTTGACTAATCCAGATTCATGGTTTTATTGTTCAACCAAGGACAATCCAGCCGATCTTCTAATGCATGGAGTTAGTGCCTCTTCTCTAGTGAACAATTCTAAGTGGTGGACTTGTGCAGAAATTTTGACAGAGCCAAATTTTCCCTACAAGTGTTTACAACCAATAGTTCCAAAGGTTGAGAAACTAAAAGTTCTAGTGACATTAATGACATTTTTAGAGAACTATGCTGATTGACATGAACTCTAATGTTTTAGACGAACTCTTGAATATTAGTAACAATTATTATGAAATGATTAATTTTCTTTCTTATATTTTTAGGTTCATTTGTAATTGCAGGAAAGGTGGATCAAGAAAGGTAGGCTCTCTTCAACTAGAAGAGAAAAGAATAGCTGAAGAAGTGCTTATTAAACATGAGCAGAGGGTTCTATTTTGTAAAAAGGACATAACAGGTAACTTAAAAAATTTACATCCCTTTGTTGATCGTGAAGGAATAATTCGTATTGGTGGCCGTCTTGAAAAAGCTTCTTTACCATTTTCTCAGAAATATCCTACAATCATACCAAAAAATTCTAAGCTAAGTAAGATTTATTTTTCTAGTGAGCACAGAAGATTATCGCATGTTGGCCCTCAAGGATTATTTTGACCATTAGGTGGTAGAGATTTGGCACGAAAAACAGTACATCCTTGTGTTACATGCTTTAAACGCAAATCGATTTTGTCTTCACAGATTATGGGTAATTTACCATACGAGAGAGTTAATAGATCACCCCTATTTAATGTTTCAGGTTTGGATCTATGCGGTCCCTTTTATGTAACTTACAAGCATCAGAGAAAGGGAGTGCTAAATAAAATTTACATTTGTGTATGTTTGTGATACGAGCTACTCATCTTGAGAATTTGTCAGATTTAACTTCTAGTGCTTTAATTGCCACTCTTAAGCGTTTCATGGCCAGATATGGCAAATATGTGAAAATATTCACTGATAATGCCCCTAATTTTGTAGGAGCAAATTCTCTGTTGAAGAAATTCTACAATGTAATTAATTTTCCAGACAAAACTTTAGCCTCATATTTCACATCTGAAAGAATAGACTGGAACCCAAGTCCCCTCATTTCGGAGGGCTATGGGAAGCCGGTGTAAAGACCGTAAAATATCACTTACAGAGAACGATAGGAAATTTGCGTTTTACATATGAGGAGTTTGAAACTATAATTGTGCAGGTAGAGGGAATATTGAATTTTGAGACCTCTTACACCTACTTCCAATGACTTTGATTGTTATGACGTTTTGACCCCAGGTCATTTCTTAATAAGGAGGTCATTACAGGCGATTCCGGAGCCAATGATAATAAACGTAAATGAAAATAGGTTAAGCCGGTGGCAGAGAACAATGAAAGTAGTTCAGATTATTTGGAAGACATGGTCAAATGACTATTTAGGAACTCTGCAGCAGAGAAACAAGTGGATGATAGAGAAGGACAATATTTCTGTTGGTACTATGGTACTCGTCAAGGAGGATTATCTGCCAGTTTACAAATGGATTTTAGGTCGAGTTATTAAAGTCTATCATGGATCTGACAATAAAGTAAGAACTTTTAAAATCAAAACAAAATCAGGGGAATTAAAAAGAGCAATCACAAAGATCGCCGTTCTTCCGATAGAAAACTGAAATGATATTGTTGCATATGTATTGTATTTTGTCCTAGTATTGTAATAGTTGTAGTTACAGTAATAGTATATTATACTGTTTATAAGTATACTAACTTTGTTTAAGTTACAATGTATGTATAATTTCTTGAAATTTTGTAATTTCAAACCGGGGGAGTGTTACGTCCCTCTGAAGCCAGATGGCGCAGCCATCGTTACTGTTTACAAAAAGAATGTTAATTACTTGAGAGTTTGCTTCAATGGTGAAGCAGAGAGCGATTGTGGAAGCCTGAGTGTCTTTGACAAATTAGTACAGTCAAAAGTCGTTAATCCGGACTCATCGGGACTTCAGCGATTCCGGATTATAGATCATCAGTTTAAATCTGGTAAGATCGCATGCAGAAATTACAAAATTAAAAATATGAAACCGTAATTTATGAAATAAAGAACAATTATGATCTAAAGGGTATCAAAATTTACAAAAAGAAAAAGCTTAATATTTATTTGTTTACTTTATTAAACATTTCTTTCAATGTAAGTTGCTTCGTTTCATGTGATAATACTTTCTCTTTAATTCTATTAAACAGACATAATTTCTTGTTAGTTTACAAAGTTCCGCTGTTCAAGTTCCTATAATTGCTGTGTTGAGAATACCGACTAATTGTCAATCAAAATGTTTTCGTTTTCAATAACCTCTGGGTCAATTTCTTCACTATCGGAAGCGAATTATAATGACGAGGAACTTGATTTAAATCATATCCAACACGGAGTACATCGACATGAAATACTACTCTTAGTAAAGAATTATAAGCCAAATAAAATAAAAACATCTGCCCTGAAGATAAGGATAGTGCTGACAGATCAACTTCCAATCCGCAGCGTGAAATTGATAAACAGATTTCGGATTTCAAAACATACTTTCGCTTTGTAGATACAAATTACATATTAGTAAATATATATCGGAAATTCTATTTGACATAATCAAAAGTTCAAGCTTACTTTTATAAAATTGCTCTAACAGTCTGCAAAAAATAATAAGCCGGATCCAATTCGAAGATTAAGGAACAACGCAACGTGCAACATTAACTGAATTAATAATTTTAGCTTAGCTTATACCTCTGTTACACATTAAACGCGCATGTGCACAAACATATTCGCAGCCGTAAAGGTCTTACACGCACTCTTAAACGCCTGTGCGCATGCATGAACGCGACGCTACAAACTTTCTGCGCGTTCACGCGCAGAAAGTTTGTAGCTTTGAGGTCCGGATTATAGATCATTCCGGATTATGGGTGTCCGAATTAACGACTTTTGACTGTATAATAAAGATAATGATATATTACACATTAGTTTGTTAATTAGTTTAATTAAGAGTTACAGTCCATTTAGAATTTAGCCGAACCAATACTATTTCACAGATGTTTGATTCTAAAAAGATTCATGGGACACCACTCAAGAAAGAAGCCTCTACTTACTGGGGATAATTTAATTAAGAGTTACAGTCCATTTAGAATTTAGCCGAACCAATACTATTTCACAGATGTTTGATTCTAAAAAGATTCATGGGACACCACTCAAGAAAGAAGCCTCTACTTACTGGGGGGGAGAAAGGAAAAAAAAAAGGAAAAAAAGAGCAGTTGCCATACAAAATGTGAAATGGATTTCTGAGGAATAAAAAAATAGTTATATTCTCATATGAACAAACAGTTCAGACTGTCAACAGATAGTTCACCATTTAATGAAGAATTTAACTTGAGTGGATAAAACTATTAATCACTTTACATAGACAATATCAAAATTTATAATATACTGCCACTTTTGTCTTGCTCATTTAATCAGGAAGACAAAACTACAAATACTAAAATCAAGTATACGTAAATGAACAATACTTATGCAGATAAACAGTACTTTTACAAACTAATTAAATATTAATTATGAATATAGTTTTTTAGGCTTCTTTACTTGTCAACCACTTGAAACAGAAACTTGTTCTGGAAGCGGAACATTCAATTTCTAAGACTTTTTTTGGGTAATAAAGGATGGGTTGACTTAAATTTGCCCCAGATATACAGACATTCTGCAGAGAACATGCTTGCCTACTATTTATGACCAATATTAAGGTGACCATACATCCTGAATTTCCCAGGACAGTCCCAAAAAACAGTAGTGTGAGAACGTAAAAGTTTAACTGCATATATTTATTTAAGCAGTGTAGATTGCAAACTGAGAATACAAGCATAAGTTAAGAGATACAAGCATACTGGCTGCATAAACAGGGAATTCTCCAACTAACGTTTACCATACGAAAATTGTAGTGGGGGAGTTCCATTTATCATTCCTGTACAAGCATAAGTTAAGAGATGCGAGCTATACCGGCTGCATAAACAGGGGATTCTCCATCTAACATTTACCATACAAAAATTGTAGTGGGGGAGTTCTATTTTTCACCCCAACCCCCCCCCCAACATACATGGAATTTTTGCTCACAGTTGCAGTTCAGACTTTCACTTACACCTAGCGCTGCAATTTTTAATTGATATGTTAATTCAATAATGATTTTAATTTATAATATACATATATATTTTTTAATTATCAGTGGAGCATTACATACATGTTCAATGGTTCATTACATACGTTAGTATGTATGATTCTCCTTACACATTATCACACAACATCTAAAATTATTTTTTCTCATGTTTAGATTGTAAAGATTTTACGTCATATTGAGTTTGTGTAAGGTTCAAAAATATTTTAAAGAAACAAAGACCATAGCTAGGGTTTTCAACGCCCAAGGACAACTGAAGACGCCCTCGGGTGCGATATGCGATTCGTCTTTTCGCCCCTTTCTATGAACCAAGAATGGAAAATATTTCATTCTAAAATTTCATAACATCAATTGCCGCTCCCTAGATGCTGAGCCTGTGAACAGTTGCCCCCCTTGCCCCCACCCTAGCTATGCCATTAACATTTTAACTGTCAAGTAATTTTGATGATTTGGGTGCATAAATTGTCATTTTTTTTTATTCCAAAAATGAAATGTTTGCCTCAAAGTAAAAAAAAAAAAAAAAAAGCACTTTGAACTTTAATCTCTATCCTTTGAAAAACAGATGGCAGTCAAATCCTGCCATCTGTTGAACTGAAGCCGAAATAAACTTCTCACGATATATATTCAGGTATAACAATACAATGCACTAAAAAAAAATTAGCCTGAGTAATATTCAGGCATGACATTTTGGAATACGAGTGCTGTGCCTGACATTATTTCGGGTATGACAGTTAAAAGGTTAAAAAAATCTGCTTAAATGATGACATGTATCGATACTTCCTATTTGGCAAAGACATGTATTTTTTATTCATCAACAGTGCATTACATATGTGCTAAGGATATATTTTACTGCACTCTGATTTTTATTAATTATTTATTTATTTTTGCCATTAATATTTCAGTAATAGGTTAAAAAAAAAGAAAGTGTACATTTAACAAAGACCCACAGAATGAATATCCATTTATTGGGAAAAAACTATAAGTGATTCCAATGAATGGTGAAGTACATGTTCTTCAGAATTTTCAATAAGCCATGGTGGTGTATAGATATTAAATTTCATAGAAATAGTAATAAAGATAAAATGTCAAACTTTGCTGCTGCATTTAGCTCGTCAAAGAATTTCTTAAAACAGGATAAAATGGGTGATGAAGAAGAACTAGCTGCAATAGAAGGTACTTTTGCATACCATACTATTTGTCACAACCATAGTTTTAGGTCTATGGATTGTACATCCTGCTTCAAGTCACATTTGAGCCTGAATTTCAATGTGTACACGAACTAAGGCTGAAGCTATAACACTAAATGTTTTCATACATTTATTTAGTGTTATAGCTTTAAGACAGGGGTTCCCAACATTATGTCTGCGAGCACCCTGGTGCCCGCTGCCGTGTGATTACAATAAATATGTTTTAGTTTTCAATAAAATTCTATATGAAAGTTTTCTCATTTTTAAGTGAAATAGAAATTGTGTGGAACACAGATACGACTACAAAGCGAAATGTGACCAATCTCTCTCTCCCTTTTTTTTTTATGTGCATGTATCATTAACTCTATCCAACTATAAATTCACCTTTAAAAAGTAAATGGTGCCCGCCATCCAATATATATTCTAGAATGTGCTCTTAGGAACAAAAACTTTGAGACCCCTGCTTTAAGAGCTTTTCACAGTAATTTGAAAAAATGTTCATGTTTCCGAACTTAATTGATGCGTCCAATCACAAGGACTTTTCCAATACTTGCCAGATTTATATATTGGAGTTACAGAGTTATAATTAAAATTATAGAATTTGAATCCTCCCCCAGTAAAACATCCAATATTGTCATCAACTATTTTATTACCTGTCTTGAAGAAAATAATTGAAAAGAAAAAAATATTGGTCATTGTGTCAATACAAATCTGAGTTTTGGAGGAACTGACAGATGTAAAGAAAAAAAAATGCTTTTGTAACAAAACCTTAACTATATGGTTTGAATGGAGTTGGATGTGCAGAGCATATTATCCATAACACAATAAGAACACCTGGTATTTTGCATTTGACATAGAAACGATTATTTCTAAAATATACTTTAAAAATTATATTGTTAGAGTAGAAACATTAAGAAATTTCTGTAATTTCGTAGAAAACAAATTTTCAATTATACTAGGATATTCACAGACGAGATAGTTAGCATTACTTCACCCAAATAAAAGGGTAATCCAAATGTTTTTACCACTGACGACTTATTTTCAACCTTAAAAAAAGTGCCCCACGCTTATTTTAAGAAAATGCAGTTGCAGAAGCATAGCTACATTTTGTTAATACTTAGACTTCAGTATTTCATAAAGTTATTACAACAATTGAAAATCCAACTGCGTCTGTATTTGATGTAATTGTTTCAATGGATGCTCTGAAATTCAATACAGGATATCCTTATTCCAATAAATGTTAAAAAAATTCTAGAAAAACTTAAAAAGAATGGAGACATGCCACAATAGCAAGTAACTGAATTTCGAGAAGCTACTGTTTCATTTTATCAAACTGCTGTTACTTATTTAGAGAAATGGACGAAAAGGTATTTCAGAGGATGGAAATGTACAGTTGGATTATATTAAACAAAATCCCTTCTTGGAGTCAAATTGAAATAGCCTTTTTGTTAATTAATAAAATGATACCAAATCATAAATTATTTTAAATGATATATATAAGGAATAGGTTTACCTTAAACAATACATCACAGAAGAAAATATATTGGAATAGTAAAAAAGTAAGATGTGCCCACTTCAGATGGGGATGGAAATTAACTGCTTATTTTAATAAGAAACAGATTCCTTGCTCAAACATTTTAAAATTGCCAGAATTTTTTCGTCTTACTGTCACTAATGCTGCAAATGAGCGAGTATTAACAGTTTTTGGACTAGTGATAAGACATCTTAAAAGTGGACACTTTGAAGGGTATGCTAATCACAAAATGAAAATTTGATAAAAATTGCACTAACCTTATAAGAAGATCTGCAAGATATATATATAAACCACAGATACAAAAACCTCCTACACGAACTTCACCAAAATGGCAGTTGAGAGAGGCCGAGAAAAAGAGAGGAGCGTGTGGATTTCACCAACATTTATTCTGCCGATGTATTAATATGTAAATTTATCTATTATATTGTGTCTGAATAAAATAAAAATTCACATTTTTGTGAAGCTAGTATCTTCATTAATTGATGATTGATCAACCATTATTTTACGAATTATCAAGCATTTCTACATCATTGAATGGTACAGTTTTAAAAGCAAAAAGTGAATTTAAAAAGTAGTAAAGTGTGCTATATTTAGACATTTTTTTTTTTTTTTCTTTTGGTTTGTTGTTTACATTATTGATTGCAAGAAATTCATAAAAACAGTTAAGTTGATTATTTCCTCATCATATGCAATTATTCATCTACCCACTCATTTGGCCATATTTCATTATAACATAGATTACTTTACAATAAAGATTTTATTTTTGTGCTACTTCTAATATTATAACAAAGCCTATTATACAATATATATTAATTAAGTAATGCTTATATGAAGGCAACTAATTAATTTCAAAAATTATTTAAAAAATCTGTAGATGATTTTACAAGACTCATATAAATTTTCATTTCTAGAACTATAAACTCCAATAAATATCAAGCACTGATGTGACTGTTATTTTTTATAACAAAGAAATACTGATAGATTAGACACTACATATTCTTACCTTGCGAGCTGTTTCTTTAAGTTCAGAAGAAGTATATATAAGGACTCCATCATCTTCATATCCAGATCCTTTAATTGCAGCTGAAAGTATATTTTTACAGTGCTTATAATCCGGTTCTTCCTCAAAAGTTAGCCCAGCAACATATGTGAAATACTCAGCAATACCTCCTGAGGAAAGAAAGCAAAATAATTGCAGAGGCATATAATATGCTCTTTCTATACTGCTGATTTAATTTACAAACAATTAAAAATTCTACAATGTTTTTTACAAATTTTCATGTCTGAGTTATATATTTATGCATTGATACAAATTTAGCTCTTAAAACCTTACTTAAAGTTTTATACAGTATTTTCTGCCTCCTTTCTGCATGCCTTTGTGGTGTAATGGAAGCACATTTAGCATGCATTTGAGAGGTCCAGGGTTTAAATACTAGAGAGGACAATGCACATTTTTCATATCTTCTGCTTAAAAACGACCTAATAACTTTACGTGGTACCTGAACTAAAAAAAGTGGTGGATGATGATTCTTCACCACCAAAATTTGGCAATTGGGTCCCTCAATTCTGCATGCCTTTGTGGTGTAACAGTAGCACACTCAGCACATACTGAAGAGGTCCTGGCAAGGGTATTGCTCATTTTTCACTTCTCCGCTTAAAAAAAAAAAAGACTATGGATTTTGTATAATTATATAATAAAAAACTAAAGTGAGCGATTTCAGTCAGGAATTTAGATCATACATAGAGATTCAGTTTGATAATTCAGTTATCAAAATCAATTATCTTTTTTTAAACTCCGCCCTCCAATTTTTTGCTTGCATAGGATATTTAAGATCTTGCACTCAAAGCTTTCCACTTGGTTCTGCATACTATTAGAACAATATGCTTACTTCTTCGAATATCTAATTTTAGTTGGACTTGATTAAAAAGATTTGATTGGTAATTAAGGCATAATTTCTCAATTGCAAACCAAGACATGAATTTTCAATATTTCTTTTTCTTACATATGTTGCATATACTTGCAATTGAAGGCCTAAACATACATGTATTTAGAAAGCTAAGAAACATATGCAAAGAATACTAGGTGGTAACTAATGGTATTCTAATGGCATGAATTGATTACATCTAATGTATGACTTTCATTCAGAATAACTATAAAGATAATATATCTATCTGCTATTTTAAGTTCAAGACTGCAAATCACCAAGACTGGAGGAGGACTCAAGATTTCTTGAAATTCTCTTTCAGGAAGCCAAAAGTTGTCAATTGCAAAAGCAGAAATGAATCCAGACAAAAGTTATCTTTAACCTAACACAGCAATGATATACATGAATATTTTAATTGCAACAATTCTATGCAGCTGAAATAAGTTTATATTCCTGTTCAGTGTTCAGAAAGTTTTTTTTTTTTTCACTAAAATATTTAAAAGCTGCCTCCTACTTTTAGACAACTTTAAACGATTTTAAATTCTCTTCATGAAGTTTTACGCCCTTTATCTTCAGACAGAAATTAAACTGAATAATTGGTTGTATTAACTAAAAGTAAAGCCCAGAAAATCTGTCATGGAAGAAATACCTTCCAGAAGTACTTTTTAAAGAATTGGATTATTTAGATTATGGCAAATAACAAGAGGATTATAAGTCTAAATGATGGGATGCTCTGGTGGACACCATATTTTAAGAGAAAATGGCTCAAATTCATGGATTTATCTAAAGCTAACTAGCTTATTTCTATTACATGTGGAAAACTATCAAAATACACATGCAGCAAGCCTGTTCACAAGGATTTGAACCATCTGTGTCTTAGCAGTCCAATGAAACTCAACAGAAATATCTTAGTTTCAATCGGATATAAAGTTTAAAAAATATTTTGATTATCACAACTGCTTTTATCATTAACAGTCTTGTGAGAAAGCATCATTTGTAGCTATAAAATTAAAAACCTAATTATTTGTTTGTTATTATGACAGGTTTAGCACTTCTTGTATTTCATAAGTTGCATAAAGAAAATAATTCACTGAATCATGAGGATGGGAGAGCAGAAGAAACTGGCAGTACATTATTTTTTTCTGCCTCATAATGTACATTGAGCATGAGGTGTGAAAACTGAAATAACACATCTGAAACAAAGGTACACATTAGTGCACTAATATCTGCTATTTTAATTTTCAGCAAATAAAAACAGAAATTTAGGTACTTTTCGTTTTGTCGGCGCATGCGATAAAGTCGCCAATAATGGTACAACCGAAACCAAACGGAATATCCCCACTGGTAACCTTTTACACCTCATTTTCAAAACAAGTCGCAGCCATTTCTTATCAGATTGATTGTTTCTTTCAACACAGGCATACAATTACATAGAATTTTTACCAGATAGTTCAATTTTATGTCCTAAGGCAATTCGTGGAAATTAAGTCAATTAGGATGCAATCACACGGCTCACCTGAAGGCGAAAATATAGAAAAGACAAAGTCAAGCATTAAATGCATGAATTCTAACGAGAATGCGCTAGCGATGTAAAGCACTGCGGTTTTACATAATTTCTGAGTAAGCTATTCGTACGAATTGAAATAATTCTTAGATTTAAACTTGTGTTCCAAATTAAGATTTAACTAACTTAATGTATATAATTACTGAGATAATTAAAATTTTTGTAGCGCAGTTTACGTGAGATAAGATCATTTGAGCCACGTGATATGAACCGGCGAATCAGGATGTTGAACCATGAAAGTATAGTAAATTCTTAAATTAACGTCTTTTTACATAATTCTAATTGATATTAAAATGTTTATGCCTTCAAAATAAAAAATTCATAGAACTAACATTTGTTAACATTTTTTGTGTATGCTGTATGTTGTCGCCAATAAAGTCTCCTTGGCGAGAATTACGCCAGCGAAACGGAAAAGTACCAAATTTATTCCTAACTGAAAAAATGTCTGATAATCATGATCATAACAAAGATAACACTTTCATTACAAAATATATCTAGCAAGACAGAATTTTTACAGCTATATTTTAAAATTTTACAAGTATATTTATACAATATAAATTCAAAATCAAATGAAACTGCAAATTTTTAAAGCACATTTAAATAAAAAAATAAAGAAAAATATACCAAGTCTACTAAATGCATCACGATAGAGTTACAAGAGTCTGTTAAATAATCATGTATTTAAACATCTGCAATAAAAAAATAGTCTTGAGGTACCAATAACTGACTGAATAGCACCTTACAATGCATGATTGGAAATCTTATTATCCTGATAGCAATCAAAATAGAAAAATCAGTCATTGGAAGTGAGTAAGGAAGGATTTTATATATAGAAGCTAAATGTGCTGAATAACTATTCAGTTTATCACAATGTAATTTCTGTCATTTCAATAAAAGAAAGGACACTTGCAAATTTAACAGTTTTAACATCTGAAAACTGGTGGCATTATTTTCACTATAGAAAGAAAATTATATCCATACATATATGAAATGTTACCAATCCATGCACCATAATATCTAACTCTTTACCTACTAATTATTAACTAGTACATAACAGTTAAACTTCTATGCACAATATTAATTTAAAATAAAGATTCATTGCCAACTCAGGACATAAATTTTTTTCAATATTCCCCTCTCAAAATTGTCTGCAATATTAAGTAAATATATCTTTTTAAAAAATCAGTTTGTGTTGTCTGAATGCATGTTTTGCATACAAAGATACAAGCTTATGGAAAATTTCAATACATTTTTAATTCAGAACTGTTCAATTTGAAATACACACACACAAAAAAAAGGAAGGAGCAGACAAAAACTTAAAAACACTGCATTTTCACAAACAGAAATCAATCCACTTAAAACATTCAAGAAACTAATAGTTAAAAAAAATTATATTCAAATTTTTTTATAACCAAGAATTAAATTTTATTTCTGTTTATTTGATATATGTCATTCAATCTCATAACTATGATAGCAACATATATTATGCAGAATATACAAGAATTGTATAGATAACAATAGTTCCAAAAATTTAAAACCTATCACCTTTAACAGAAGATAAGATTCACAAAAATTCAATTTTATAAAAAATTCTTACTTGGTGGAGAACGTTTCGGAAAACAACTTTTCATTAACGAAGAAACATTTGATAAATACCTAAAAAGAAAATTTCAAGAATGAAATCTTTCCAGGAAACTAACTTTTCATATATAGATACAAACAAAATACAGTAATACAAATTATAGCAACAACAAACTAAAAAAAAAAAAAATCATACATGCTTTTCTGACGACTAACACTTTCTGGGTCCTTTAAGTTATCTTCCCATGGCAGATGACCAGAGAGCCACTGAAGCATGTTATAGCCTAGAATTTCTAAATCCCCTCTTCGAGAATGAGCTGCAAAGTGTATTTTGAAAGGGAAAAAAAATCATGCACAATTACATGTAGATAAAAATATTTTTAATTTTATTTCACAGGAATATATATACATATAAAATCAGTACCAAGCTTAATGTTGATTCTAACATAATAATATAAAGCTGATTCTAACAAAAATATAATAGTTATCAAATATTTAAGAAAGTAGTTCAAAATATTGTTACATGTGTATGGGTTTTGCAATGGATTGAATGCACACAGAACCAATGATAGCTTGATAAAATTTACTTTACCAAAAGAAACACTACTTTCTACAAAAATACTCGTGCAGCTCTTCTCAGTATGACAGAACACAATCAATAGTACCCACTTCAAATTACTAAGAATATAAAACAAATGCAATGCAAAATGCATCTAAACAGCAAAGTTTACATGGAGATCTCTCAATACTCCAAAGTAGATTCTGAACTAAAACAATGAGAATTGATGCTTTCTCCAGTCTTATATAGTTTTCCCCCAGCCGATAGGAAATTTCCATTTTTCAAAGTTACTGGAAGTCACATACAATAGCTGGACACAGCTACAGTTACATATAGTGCCAATTACAGTTAGATAGGGAATGGACTAAAATGTCACCATATTTGGCGACTTTTGGTGATTTTTGCTAAATTTAGCAACAAAATTTATTTCCTGAAACCACTGCCAATTTGGTGATATTTCACCTTTAGCGAGATAACCAGTTACCTGAATGTTTAGAAGACTTAACCCTGTAATCTTATTTTTCCCCACAAAGCTTAATTTTTTCAAAGCACTTTACGTGAACACAAGAAATACTATAATTTTACATATAATTTCATTACATTTATTTATATATATATGGAATTCATGACAATATACCATGCATCATAAATTAATGACCTGTAAATATACTACATGTGAAAACGTTATGCTAATTTTTACCAAATTGTTTTTCAAAAACACAGATGTACTAAAAAATTAAAATCTCCATTATCACCACTAGTATTGATAATGATAAAAGCTTTTTTTTATTTTTATATACAGTAATATCACTGCAACTGTAAAATATGTATTTCTAAAAAAAAAAAAAAAAAAAAAAAAAAAAAAAAAAACCTCTCTAATTACATTAATATTACACATAGCAGGAGTAGCCAAACTTCATGCCAGTAGGAGCTGCATGCTAAAATTCAAGAAAGCTTGGGAGCCACAAGTAGACTTTACAAAAGTCTCAGGTCCATATTTACATTATTTTAAAAATGGTGAAACAGGTTTCGAGTGGGAAAAAAATGCTTGAAGTAAATAAATGAGAGTTTCCTATTTTTTATATAAGATTACTTATTTATGTACACTGAGTAAAAAAAGGGTCAATTCTATATCTCCCATTCTACGGGCCGATTGACAAAATTCAAATTGCATTCATCATGTCTCGAAAGCGTGGCTTAGGATATATATTTATATATAGCACTGTTCTAACATAAGTATTTTGATACAAGAATTGGACTTTTTCTGAAATAACACGGAGATTTTTTTTTTTCCTGTATTTTGATTCCACATCTCAAATTATGCCAAACTGCCAAGTTCTGTAAAAATCGCACAAGTAGTTTTTAAAGAATTAGCTCTCAAAATTTTAGCTCCTCAATGTTATTTGAATTTGGCATATATTTATTTAATATCTCTTTTTTGTTAAACTTTCTTGATTTTTCCTCACACATTTTGAAATCTAGGTTCATTCCAAATAAAATTCACATTTTTTTTTGTGTTTTATTTTTAATTTTTATAAATTTTTCATAAAAAATTTTGAATTATAACCTATAAAATTTTTACCATCATCTTAAAGTAGGTGTAATTCTAAGCATACCTGCAAAAAATTAAGATTTTTTTATTTAAAATTTTCTAAGCTATACACGAATTTACATATTTTTTAGCATTTTGAAATTTGGCATCTTTTTTTTGAGCGATAATAAAGCTAAACAGGCCTGGCGGCATAGTGGCTAGCGCTTCGTGCAGCAGCACCACAGGTCCGGGGTTCGATTCCCGTGCTGGGCAAGGTCGACTCAGCTTCTCATCCTTTGATTTCCATCACTTGGGTCGATAAAATGAGTACCAAGTTCGCTTGGGGACTAAACACTGGGGGTCTAGCGACCAAGCTGACCACTTGTTCAGGACATATGTTTACGCACCCGGGGGCCCACGATTAAGAAAGCAGACTTTGGATACTGTAGGCCTTGGCCCATTAGGGCTGTTATGCCACTGAATTTAGTTTAATAACAAAAAATGTGGTTCATGGATTTTTGTTACAGTGAACTGCGACAGCTATTTTTAACCTTAAATTTCAAATAATTTTTTACGGAGAATTATATGAAATTTTTTCCCTCAATGATGCGTAATAAACATTTATTAATACGAAAAGTTATTTTTTTGAAATTACAGATGATATTATTAAAATGTTTAACTTTTTAAAAAATTTCTGTCTTTCTTCCTTTTTTTTTTTTTAAATGTTTGTAAGAGTAAATTTTTACCTTCGCCGTTTTATCGTCTGCTACTTTACTTTAACTGCATTTATATTGAATTGTTTAAAACTGAGAAAGTTCGTTTGATGTTTATTTTCACAATGTTTTTAAGCAAACAGGATGTTGACAGTTTGGGTCATGTCCTAGCTTATATATATATTTTTACATTAAAAATCTTAGAAAGAATGTTTTAAGCAGCTAATTTTCTCTTGTGTTATAGATCATATAAAAAACATGATCTTTCATATGATTTAGCTTGTTTGCAGCTGATATAATAATCGGTTCACTCGGTGGTACAGAATAAACACTAGGACTGTTTTATTTCTTTGTCATTTAGCAAAAAATATTTTAATTAAAATATTTATCCTTTGGACTTTGATTTAAACTTTATAGTTAAAATGCCTAGAAAATGAAAAGCTGTCTTCAGCTAAAACACAACTGATGTAATTGATATTTAGGTTTGGTTTGTTTGGTTTATTTAATTACGTCAAAGCACACTAGGGCTATCTGCCTAAGGGGAGGGATGCCTTCGTGGAGGACTTTCTAAGGGAAACTGGCTCGTGTACATGTTACACATGGGGAAAACCACGAAAACGCCCATGCAGCCAGACCGTTTGCGGGATTTGAACCTCGGACCGAACTACCAGTGTTCAGCGACTTTAGAACTCGGCCGCTGGTGAGCTGTAATTGATATTTAAAAAAAATTGACAAGAATGCAAAACTTATAGAAGTGCAACAATTGAAAAATCTTAATTTTCTTGTGTGAGCACTGAAAATAAATGTAGGGAGAAAAGCACAAATTTGAAGGACAATTTAGCTGTCAGAAATACCAAGGTGTTTAAAAAAGTTGGATGCTTTTGAATATACTTTCAGAATACTTCAAGGAATTTGGGTGTTCAAAGAAAAAACACTTGGACGTGTACACCAACAAAAACCATCAATTGAGCTTGTGCTAACAAAAAAGGACAAAAACGATATCATTGCTGATTAAAGCGAAGAGTGACTGGTTTTTGACTATATGGTTGTATAAATTTAAATTACATTATACAACTTCATATCAACATAAACGGAGAATCCCATGATTTCTTAGTCGAATTATTTGAAGATTCAGGAATTTATCCAGTGATGTTGGGGTCCCTAAAGACGTTTTCCCTCTTGATGAAACCAGTCTTTCCTTTCATCTCACATCTTAAAATGATTAGCCTCTAAAGACTGATAAAGACTCAGACCGAGTGCTGATGAAATGGATTGAAATGGATTATTAAGTTACAGAAAAGCAGGGCTATCTGCCTAAAAGGAGAGATGCCTTCGTGAAGAACTTTCTAAGGGTAACCAGCTGGCATACACGTTACACATGAGAAAACCCCCGAAAACGGCCATGCAACCAGCCCGTTTGACGGGATTCAAACCCTGGAGCGAAATACCAGTGTTCAGCGACTTTACTGCTAAGGCTGTTTGTGGGCCTTTATGAAATGCAAGGCGATAAATTTATTTAAAATGAATGTCAGAAATACCAAGATGTTTTAATAAGTTGGATGCTTTTTAATATATTTGCAGAATGCCTAAAGAAAAACAGCATGCCATTAAGGAAAAAAATAAAATTTAGTATTTTTTTTTTTAAACTTTCACCTTATTTTTCCACCCTCACCTTGTTTTTTCTATAATTGTTGAGTGGATTTAGCAGAAGTAAACAGAAATGGAAGGAGCATGTAATGGCCTTTAAGGTATAAGAATAAAGAAACTAATTCAAATACAGATCCAATGATTTTTCTTTAGCTCATACACAGAAATTCATGCTGAAAAGACTGAAATAAGTGACACAGGACAAACTGCACTTTTGTGAAGCTGCTATTATAGAAAGTAAAATTATTTCAAAATAATGTCTTAAGTTTTTGGATTTTTACATGAAAAATAATTACCCTCCCCTATTCAGTTAACATGGCTCCATATGATTTCAAACAATTAACAGGTTAACCCACAATATATATTGAGAGCAAATCAAACATTACATAATTTATCTATATTTAATCAATTATTTATTTGCATGCCACTTGCAAGCTGAAGTTAAATGAAGTTAAAAGATAACTGGCCACAATTTCGTCATGCCCGGTATTTAGTATTAATGAAACACTGGTTCATACTTCTATTTCAATATTTTTAGACTCTAGCAGTTTTGAAATGGCTAAATTATTACAAAAATCAATAACCACCATCACTCAGTCATTTTTACATCAACAGAACCATCTGAACACATGGGTGTCTCTCCTACAGAAGGTTCATTGTGTTGATAGATATCACAGTCAAAACATGAAAAATTATGTTTATTGGCATGGTGAAAGAACATGTCTGGTTAATTATACTTAGTTAACTTAAGCAGCCTTTTATTTTGAATTAATTAAATGCAGTGAATTTCAGGCAGTATGGCCACTTGTTCGTAAGAGAGGCTATTAGTTTAAATTTTAAAAAATATATTTCAATAATGAAAATATAACTTGGTTAGAATTTAGGGACTCCAGATCCAATGAATAGGTAATCTATAACAGGTTCTTTCAATGGATTAGATATGGATTCACTGAAATCATTAGATTACAAGCAGATACACATGCATATAACAAAAATTAAATATTAAAATTTCTTAAAATTTTTAACTTATTTTATTTAGATTGGCTTACGGTAATTTATGGGCAAGAGCCATATAATCTGAAAGTTACTACACCTACTAGATTGATATACAGTTGAACTTTGGATAATGACCACCTCACTTCATAAATAATTTGGCACATGAACAAATTAACTGGAGGGGGGAAAAGGCCTTATATGACAGAGTATCTTGTGTTATGACCATTCAAGCCAGACACAAATGGTCTGCAAAGGTGTTTTGTAGTAATCCATGCCGCATAATTAACACTGAGGGATTTCTGGAAACATCATTTCTAGTGTTAAACACAAAAGGCCAGTAGCAAGTGATTTACAGACCATGACTTCGGCCTTTAGTAAATTTGTGATCAAACCAGTTAGCAGGCAAAGACTTTGACACTCAGGACACTTTTTTTTAAAAAAATCTGATGTGTACACAACATGACTTTCTGTATGAAATATTAAATTATATGCATTTTTCTTGCCTTCATTTAAACTCGTTAAATTGAATTAAATCTACTTTGTCGATACAGCATAAACCACAATAGAATAAATGCACTCTTTAAAATTTACTATATTTGTTTACCATAGCGACACTCTGGCGCTAGGTTCATTTAACAGCATTACATTTTGTTAATATTATAACTCAGAATGCATATAAATTTATATCATTTGAAGAATTATCTATAACTATTGCTACATACTTTATTCAAATACTATAATAAATCTAAAACAATGTGTAAAAGAGATTAAGCAAACAAAACAAAAAAGAAACAGTTTTTCACAGACGATTTAGTATTTTTCATTCAGTTAATTCAGTTCTCACTTCGTGACAAGGCAAAAATACATGAAAACTCAAAATATCTATATTAAAAATTTTGAAGTAAATCTTAGAACACTTATTTTCTCGAAAAATTCCAGAAAGGATTAAGCATGATTTAATTCGCAATAATAAATGAAGAAGTTATCTTTGTTGTTGCGAAGCTTAGTTGCTCTAGATTGACAACAAATCCATTATTCTGCGATTTCAAATGTAAACAAATATGTCCGCCATGCTATTAAAAAAATTAGGCTTAACCACACTTAAACAGCTTTTAAATTGTTGATAATTCTACAAATATTGCTTGCAAATTTTCTAAAGGCATAAAAACCTTTACTGGAAGATAAGAACAACATAATTCAATAATTTTTAAACAAAAAATGTACAATTTACAAACATATAAGCGTAAAGAAATTGAGATCACTGAGCCGGGTAACAGAGTAGATATATATATATATATTTATATACGTTTCGTGCGGCTGATTGTAACCAAAATATGAGGTGCACATCTACATGTTATAGCAGTCCTATATACAAAATTTCAACATTCTGAGACTACTCGTTTTCGAGTTATGCAAGTTACATACGTACAGACCCCACGGAAAATTCTCTTCAGAATTCACTTTAAAGTAGTTTTATACTTTTTTTTTGAGGAAAAGAATCTTTTATTCTGTCCTTACGTACAGATATCACGCAAAAACATTGTTAAATTGCATTCGATAGCGGTCAACATGGATATTTTCATTGAAATATGCTGCCTAAAACTTTTTGTGATTACAATACTTCCTTTTTACTTCGTACAAGACAGTAAAAACAACTATGTCATTGTGTCTAAGCTGCTGTAAAAGCCAATTGTGGAGAAAACGTTTTCAGATGATGGGAAGAAAGAAAAAATTCTCTGAGCTGCTAAATTTGTACAAAATGAGATATATGTAATGATATCAACCTGAAAATGCAGTAGTAAGCTACAGCATAACGATTTCAGTAGCAATGCCTTGTTTTATCTTTAAAATGTAGGCGGTAACAAATCACATTGTGCAAATTTTGAACGAAATAAATGCCATTAAGTCTCAAGCAGAGTTGAATGGTAATTAAAGATAAAGACAAAAGATGCCTCTATATACAGTTAATTTGATGTTCTTATGGAAGAAAAGTTCATATCCATGTAACAAACAATAACACCTTCCTCATCATTTTCTACAAATTCTGTCTTGGTACAGGTACAGCAAAATCAAAACAAGTTTTTATTTATTTTACATGCTTAATAATGTGGTTCATTAAAAAATATTTAATAATTTATAAACAAAACCATTTCCATTGGTTTTGCTTATGAATTTTCAAACAAAATACTTTCGTGAAGTTTAAATAAACAATCATCTATATAGTCCATGAATGAATAAATTCATTTTCCATTAATTCCTATGGGGAAAACCGTCATTGTTTACAAACATTTCAATCAACAAAGGAATAAATTAAGTTTTTGAACTGAGGTTTCACCGTATCATGTAAAAATCAAACATTTATCAAAATGCAAACTCAAATTTATACATATGATTTGGTGTAACTAATTTGAGGTAATTAAGAAAATAAAACTACACAGTGAATTTAAGCACAATGAGGATATTCTGGCTAACATCTATTTTCCAATAGCATATTAAAAACACTAGATACATTTTGGTTATTATCACTGTAAAAATACAGTTCATGCAAAAGCATGCTAATTAAACACCTCTTCGGCCTCCCCCAAAAAAAACTGTCTACTGCAGTTGTCACAAACAATATAAGATTTTTTACACAATGGTTTTAAATCAATACCTTTTACCTAAGTTTTATGTAGATCGGAAAAGTGATAAATTCAGCTTTTAATCATTAACAAAAATTTTAAGTACCTCCAATATGAGCATCTCTGCTAGTGAATTCTATAGTTCCATCATGAGCTTTTCGACGATCTTCTTTTAGTTCTTTATGTTGTCCATTAGTAACATATCGGCAAGCTAAGCCAAAATCTATGAGATACACCTATGAATAAAATGATAAAGTTCCTCCATTTACAACATATTACTTTTTCAAATTGTACATACATAATTAATATGTAATTCATTACACAGAAAAACATAAATATATGAACAAACAGTCATGACAATAACACAAAGCCTTTATTATAGTTACATATTTGGTTTAATAAAACTGCAACCTTTCATTAGCAATTATGAAACTTACAAGAAGAGGTGAAAAACTTAATATTTCACATATCAATTAACTAGAGATAAAATAAATTCCCTATTAATATCTTGTTTACTTTCCCAAAACAAAGATAAAAAGTTTAAAAGAAAAGAAATTAAATCAAAGATCTAGTGATAAAAGTATACAAAATTGAAAATAAATTCATTGCATTAAAGATGTATTTTCAAATTTATTACATTTCAAACACTTTTTTTTGGGCCATGTATTATCATGATTTTAAATGTCAACTAGATATTTTGCATACTGTTAAATAAATATACTAATTTGTCCAAAATCTTTTCATGGTTGACTTAATGAATCATTTTTAATAAGTGGGAAAAAAACAATTGCAATAATTTAATAAAGATGCAAATTTGTTAGATTTTTTAAAAAAGGAAAAACATTTTAAAGTTAATTTTACTCCATCGATCAATTTAAAATTCTGCTAAAAAAATTATTGCATCATCTGCAATATGTCTAGACTACACTATACATTATGATGTGGCATAAACTAACATTAAACTTTTTCTCTAATAACACTGAATGCTAAATGTTAGAAACTGTAATGAAACACTTTTTATATTAGTTGAGCAAGCTTTATAGTCCATTACTTTAAAATGGCCATTTCCAGGTCTTTTCATCACCTTCCTCTAATTACGACTGGAATACTGTGTCATCACTGCACAGCATTTAACTTCCTCCATCTTATTTGAGAATAGTTCAAATCAGCGTTTATTTGTGTGCTTCTCATGAAGTGATATATGCTAAATGAAGATGAAACTGAGAAAAAAAGCAATTAGGGGACTCAAACACTTGCTGCAGTTATAACTATCTTGGTTATGAAGCAAGATCGATGAGGGAAATAACTCAAAAATATCTATTATTAAAGGTAAGTAATGGACCATATGAATTTGCAGGACTTATTAGTTCAACATTAATATATACATATATATAATATTTTACTGTAGTATCTCCTTAAAAAGAATGTGATCAACCAACATTTCACTTTCAAAAAAGGACAAAAAAAAAAAAAAAAAAAAACTGCTGACATTCAAATTAGCAACTGCACTTTCAATATACACTGAAAAAAAGTAATGTACACCTAAGTAACGTAAGTACCATATTGCACATCTATAATTTCAAATGACATTTTTTAGTTTTTAGATATATTCGGTATATATACTTTTAGAAATATTTGGCATAACAAGCTTCTTTCCATCAGGAAGAAACCTGAACGATACATTACAATGCTCTTATCTTTTGAAGTCATTCATTTGCAGACTTTTTCCAGGCTTTCGAACAATGGTATACTGAACTGACAAGCAATTAGGGGAACAATATGCAAGTCAGGAAATGCTTGAGTGAATAAATAATTCTGCAAACAAAATGCACAAAAATTTTTTATCATGAAAAAATATAAAAGATGACATTTAAAATTAATTTTAAAATAATTAAATAGCTGATAGTAGCTTTCTTAATGCTGCTAAGAAGTGTTTCAGGAACTGTGCTTTAGAGCATTTATTCTCATGCTTATTTTTTAGAATAAAAATATTCCTTGGAAAAAAAAAGGGGCACTTTAAAATATGACAGGGGAAAATAAAAATATTTTGCATTACGATTCACTTTAATGACAAACTGGTTTTAAATTCTCCAAAAGGTAAGTCGCTAAATTTAGCACAGCATAACAAAAGAATTTATTTATATTCCAAAAAAAGGAAGAGTTATTTTTGATGTAATGTTTTATAAATTTTGCATTAGGGATTTGACTATCACACCATTTATGTTATAAATGAGAACAAATTCAAACAATAACTAATGAAATACAGATTTCTCATCAAATCACAGGAAAATATTTTCTCAAAATGTTAATTCACCTTCAAAGTAGCAGGTGCAAAAAACTGACAGAAGTGTCAGATTTTATTTTATTCTTGTCAAGACACTAGAAATCTTTTCAAACTTCATGATTTAGGTTAAAATAACATGCTGAATAATGATTATCAAAGAAGTAAAAAAAGAATCAGCATCATATTTGTAAATGTTCCATGATTTTTTTTGATATTTTAACTATCGAGCCAGCTTCCTCAGCTGCCAAAGTGCAAATGAACTAGATAAGACATGACAATGGCTGGACGGGAGTTAAGCTACTGCCACCATCTATTGATGGAACAAGAAGAATAAAACATAATTTCCTTAAAAGCTGAAGCTAAAGATGGATTGAAATTAGGGTCGTTAACTAGAAGAGAAAGATTTTTTTAAATGTGAAATGCCTCAAGAAAATCTAATTTAGCAATGGAAGATGTTTTTTGAACAACTGCAGAAAAATGGAAAGTGTGATTTTTGGACCAACAGTGCTGGGCAACGAGGACTTCGGTGTTTCATTTTCCCTAACATATGCCTCATGCTCTTTAACAGGAAATTTTAAGAAACAGGAATTTATCTCTTAAAATAAGAGTGTGCCTTTTGGTGTGTTGAGATAATATTTTAACTGCTTGCTTTATAATGTTGGGTGAAAAGCCTGTCAATAGCAACTGCTTTTAAATAATTTAGTTCTTGATCCAGAGCCAGTTCAGAGGAGCAAATCTGAAGCGCATGGATAACAAAGGAATAAAATGAAGCTAACTTCTGTTTAGTCAGATGACATGATATGAAGGTGTGGTGGAAGGCAGACCGATGAAGGTTTATGGTAAAAAGTAGTAATGAAGTTGGAAAGGAAACACAGGTGTCCTCTGTTGGTCAGAAAATCACACTTTACATTTTACTGCAAACAAAATTATTCAAAAAACATCTTCCATTGGTGAATTAGAATTTCTGAAAGCATTTCACATACAAAAAATCTTTAGCATTAAAGGAAATTATGTTTTGGTTTTCTTGTTTCATCAATTAAATTAAATTAATGTCACAATTAGAACCTTTATGGTAGCCCACACATTTCACACATCTTGAGGCCATGTGGCAGGTTTCTCAGGAATAGTGCCATTTTTTTGAAAGTAAAACATTGGGGTATTTGATATTTGAAAACATATTTTTCAACAGTAATTGCAAAATATAAAGTTAGTAAGCTTATAAATATCCTCAACAGATTCAGTTCTAAACAGTTGTGTTTGAAGTAAAGGCATAGATATGTTTGTGTGACTTTTATTAAATGCACAACCTTGTGCACAGTTTAACCCTTTCCTTCAAGTGCAGTTTTAATAATGCTAGAGTGAAGCCCTTATAATAAAACCTTAAAAGGTTTTTTCTCACTTAAACTTGAGCAGGAAATCATCAACAGAATTTTCCCATAAAATTTTTACTAATATTATAATGGTCATTCTCCTTTTCTGTAAAATTCTCAAAAATCCACTGCTGAAATGACAGAGAAATTTTACATCAGGTTATTACTTTATTTATGCAAGATTTGTAGCAAACTACTCAAATTTTTCATTTTCTTTTGGTTTCACCATAATGGGGGGGTATTAACATTTATTGACCGAACACTCACTTGCCGCATAATCGCCTAAAAATCTTGATTATTGCTGTTATTACAGGGTTCGTACCCCTTTCTGCACATGGAAAATAAGTACTTTTAAGGACCATTAATGAAAAAATTAAGGACCTATGAGCAAATGGAAACTGAATAAATTCAATTAAAAATATCTATGCCTAATTCCACTTTTGTAATACCATCCTAAAAATAAAATAGATCCCTAAACAGTGCATTATAAAATATGAATTAACATAATTATTAATATGCTTGAGAATAAAATTAACTTTATGCAATATATCAAGTAGCATTAAATATTTTACACTTATAACAGTTGGACATGTTTGAAAGAAGATAAGTGACATTTACATTTTACTAACAGTTAGCTTTATGTTAATTTTTCTTATGTCTCATTTTGTCACATACTTGGTCAGTCTAGAGCAGTGTTTCCCAACCTTTTTTGTGCTATGCCCCACCTAATCCTCTCTAAAAGTTTTAAGCTCCCACTAGCATATACATAATTTTTTATATTTAAAAATTGAAATATTCACGAAAGAAACTTGAATGATAGCTTTTAGGAAGAAATGACTACGAAATTTTGTGAGCAAACACAGTAAGTGAACTTTCAAAACATGGAGAACTGAATTTCAGGAAAAAACTCATTTTTGTGAAAGTTTTTTATTTTAAGTATTAGTAATTTTTATTATTTAAATTTAGCGAGTTCCTTGCACTTGATACTTGTTGCAAAGAAATTTTATGTCAGGTTCCAATTTAGATAACTTGAATCTTAAAGTCTCTCGGTTTCATTATATCCAAACGATTTCTTTCTTTTTTTTAGCAGCAAAATATGAAGATGGAAACGGTAACAATAGTTCTCTTGCAAATTTTGTTGCATTTGGATATCTGATTCTGGTTTCCTCACAAAGCTATGTCATCGCTCCTTTTATATTAAATAAAGTTTTAATTGACTCATCATTTTGAATTTCTGCGAGTTCTTCTTTTTACTGCATATTTGAAACATCAGCCAAATCCACTAGCATTGGCTGCATCATCCAAGTTGGAAAATCAATTTGTTTTAAGTTACAAAATCTTTTAAATCAGCTGATAAAATTTTCAAATGATCAACAATAACAAGTATAGCAGTAGTCATGTCACATTTTTGGAGCCAATGAGACTTTTCAAAATTATTGTGGTAAATAGTATATGCCTGACATAATTCAACAAAGATAATGAAACCAAATATCTTTCTTTTGCATCATAAGTTTTATTTGCTCCTTGAAGTTGTTTATTTAATATATTTAATTTTTCAAAGATATTGGCTAAATAACTCAAA